ACTCAGTGATTTATACACCTACCAATATTTGTGATACTTAACTGTAAATAACAGAGTAGTTTTTCTGTCTCTTTGTCAGTGAAAGTGTCTCAAATCTCAGTGAACAAACCTGTGCCTCATTAATGAAAGGATAGAGTAATTTAGATTATATGAAGTGCGTGAAGAATATATCTCTTGTTTGGTTATTCTATGTATAACATTGCCTATATTATTTCAGCAAGTTCTTCAACAGACACGCTAGGTAGTTTTATAGCTTAACAACTTAAAGAAAGGTCAAATATGCATTCATTTTGGTTACTACAGTTATTTTCGTCGTAATCCAGCGAATTATCTTAATCTGTAGAATTTACGTTCTTCGGTCTGTAATTACTGTTTCATGTATGTTCAGCGTAGAGAGACCAAATGCATGTACTGAACACCATAAATAAGACGTAACATCAGAATATATTTATACTACTTCAATGATACAAGCCAATATAATAATCGGGAAACTTACCACTAAGTGTCTGACAGTACTACTAATATATTTCAGGTAAATATTCAGTTTCTATATGTTTGCGTTAAATATACTGGTCCGAATCCCTTTATTCAAGAGCACTCGCGTCTAATTTAAAAATGTGCCTCGTTTGTCTAGTAGTGTCTAAACATTTAACTTATCAATTAGTTTTGATTTTCGTTTTTTGTTTTGCTTTTAAAAAAATTATTTGGGCGTTCGTAGTTTACAGCAAACCGAATGACAAGTCATGTTAAAACAAAATCTTACATGTAGAAAATTTACCGTTTAAACTAAATTAAAATAAACGTTTACAAAAACTCGCTTTGTAAATAAAATAAATTTTTATGAGGAACACTAAATAGCTGTTCATGTTAGGTCTTTTTCATAATTTTTATTTAATAAACGCCTAAACTGTACTCATCTGTTGTCTGAAAATACACATCTAGTCTATCGGTTTACAACTTTACTTAAACATTGTTTGTGCTTAGTCATTTGTTTGTATGGTGATTTGTTTGAATCCACCTTGTCTAAAAGTAACATAAATCGTGAGGGTTTCACAGAGACTGTAGTGCCTGTTACTATGTTAAGCCCACATGACTTATTCTCCCGACCGTTGCTGCTACCTTGACGTGGTGGTTGGGCTTGCCTATCGTGATGAAGCAATCGAGCTATGCTGGCTGGAACAATGGTTCCTCGACGTCCTACCATGCCAGGCAGGTCGATAGAAGAACGGTAAGACTAAAAGCAGCAACTCAAGGTCTGGGGGCGAAGTCGTACTGCTGACTGTAGAGGGATGTGACAGCAATAAGGTGTTTCCCTCGGACAACCAGCATAACAGCGATGCTACCTTCTCATAAGAAAAGAAGGGGTTAAGAAAGGTCGACCCTAAAAATGCACACCTCGCCTTATCCCACGGATTTCCGTCTCCGGCGGTAAGGTCCTTTGAAGAACGGAGCTAATACGTCAAAAATCCCCCACAAAAAGGCCGTGCGTGACCGGCCTCAAACAGTTGTCCCTTGGGCACTGCGGTCACGCTCCCTGGTCGTTAAGACCAACACTAATCCGACTTCTTTTTCAGGTCCCTCAAGAAATACCCTTCCACGGTGTGGGCAACCGGGAAGTGATATTAGCCCTCATATCCGTAACAGCGCACGAGACCAAGATGGTCACATTCAAATCCTTCCTACACCTCCTAACAACTCTCTTATCTCCACGACTAACCCTTCCCACGTCCTTTTATCACCTCGCACCGCTAGAGCGAATGATTCAAGTACACGGAACGTTATTCCTGGTCTCCTGAAACCACGTTCTAAACTACATATAGGAACTTTTAATGTCCGAACATTGTGCCAAATAGGATAACAGGCTTCCTTAGCTAGGACTCTAGAATCTTACACCATCGACGTGTGCTGCGTCTCCGAAACGCGCATACAAGATCCGAGTAGTGTCATTCATTTGACCTCACCTATTCAAAATAAAGCTTCGTCTCGATACACGCTCCGTGTATCTGGAAGCCCTGATGCTGCTTCCCGTTGCCTCACTGGAGTAGGTATAGCATTAAGTCCTAGGGCAGAACTAGCTCTTTTAGACTGGATCCCAGTAGACAGTCGTCTATGCGCTGTCCGACTAAACGGATCAGGAGTGACTCGGAAAGATAGGGACACTTGTCGTTGCCTCTTCGTCGTCTCTGCCTACTCTCCCACTGACTGTAGCTCAGACGATATAAAAGGTGAGTTTTACAGGGAACTTTGTGACCTCCGAAAAGCTAGGCGTTCTGATGTAGTAATAGTGGCTGGTGACTTTAATGCTGAAGTAGGTAAACTAAGTGAAAGGGAAAAACACCTGGGTGGATCTTATGGTGTCGTGGCTAAAAGGACAGATAATAGCGACCGTCTGTTGCAGCTGTGCTCAGATAACCGCCTATTTCTTGCAAATACCAACTTTAAGCATAAGGAAAAACATCTTTTGACATGGCGACCCCCGAATTCGTCCCAACGTTGGACCCAAATAGATCACATCACTATCAGCCACCGATGGAGGGGCTCGATAGAAGACTGTCGCTCATTCTGGAGCACATGTTTAGACTCAGTTCATGCTCTAGTGCGAGCACGTATCTGTCTGCGTCTTACTGGACGCAGGGAAGCCTCTAAGGGTTCTACTTAATGATAAGCAAGCTAAGAATATATTTCAGGAACAACTGGAAAAACAGTTAGACAGACATGCAAGTTGTGCCCACCCCGAAGCGGCGTGGAATGACATCCGAAAAGCTGTGGATACAGCTGTGATATCCGCTAGTAAGGTAAGTCATAAGGTCAGGGAGAAACAATGGATCTCGGCAGCATCTACCGCACTGGTATTTGCTCGAAAACTCATCCCACCTGGCTCTGAACATAACGAAGAGCGGAGTCAGCTTAAGCGAAGGCTAATAAGAAGCCTACGCAATGATGGTGAACAGTGGTGGGTAGCGAAAGCAAGAGAGATGGAAAAGGCAGCGGCAATAGGTAACAGCAGACAGCTATTCAAACTTATTAAAGAAACCGGCATTAGGAACCCAACTATTAGCGAAACTATCTCAGACAAAGATGGACATGTCATTCATTCTCAATCCAGGATATTGGATCGATGGGCAGAACACTTTAGGGATCAGTTCAACTGGCCTTCATCCACACTTCAGTTATCCACGATCCCCAGTCGTCCTGAATAGCAAATTGATGTAAGTTCTCCAACCCTCTACGAGGTTGAAAAAGCTATAGGAAATCTAAAGCGAGGGAGAGCCGCAGGCCCTGACAGGTTTACCCCTGAGATTTTTAAGGATGGTGGTCCAGTACTAGTAACGAGATTGACTGAGGTCTTAGGTAGCATCTGGGAACTGGACGTAATTCCATCTGACTGGTCCCAATCACTGATTGTGCCAGTCTATAAGAAAGGACAAAAGTCCTCCTGTGACAATCACAGAGGAATCAGTTTGACTAATATAATGTCTAAAATATTAGCTTCAATAATACTTAGGCGTCTAACCAAAGCTCGTGAAGAGCAGACTAGAGAAAACCAGGCTGGTTTTCGATCTGGACGTGGTTGCATAGACCAGATATTCACTCTACGTCAGGTCCTAGAACATAGACATACATTCAGACGTCCCACAATAGTAGTATTTCTTGACCTTAAGGCGGCATTTGACTCCGTTGATCGTGAGGTTCTATGGCAGTGTTTGTCAGTGAAAGGAGTACCAAAGAAGTACATTATCCTCATAAATGTTCTCTACTCGGACACAAGTGGTAGAGTTAGAGCCTATGGCGAACTGTCATCAGAATTGGTTACCTCAAGTGATGTTCGTCAGGGCTGTCCACTCTCTCCATTCTTCTTCAACATTGTCTTTGAGGTGCTTTTAGAGATATCACTTTCATTATCTCAATCTCCTGGAGTTGAACTTTTACTGGGAGATTCACTTGTTGACTTAGAATACGCCAACGACATAGTTTTATTCGGTGAAGACGCTGACAAAATGCAGTCTTCTGACCACTATAAGCAACAATGCAAGCATGTTCGGGTTGCGATTCTCTCCCTCGAAGTGCGAAATGTTACTTCAGGATTGGGTTGCATCGACACCTGAACTAATGTTAGGGAGTGAAGTAGTTGAGCGTGTTGACTGCTTCACTTATCTTGGGTGTCTCATCATCCCTTGTTGTCTGGTGTATGACGAAATCTCAGTACGGATACAGAAGGCTCGTCTAGCTTTTGCCAACTTGCGCCATTTATGGCGTAGGCGAGATATCCGTCTAGCAACAAAAGGACGAGTTTATGGTGCAGCAGTTCGTTCCGTCTTACTTTACGGCAGTGAAACATGGTCGATAAGAGTAGAGGATATTCGTAGGCTACTAGTGTTCGATCATAGGTGTCTTCGAAGCATTGCTCGTATATCTTGGGACCACCGGGTAAGTAATGCAGTTGTTAGGAAACGGGTAGTAGGTAAGGATGGCAGGTCGATTGATGAAGTGGTGAAACTTCATCAGTTGAGATGGCTGGGACATGTGTTACGTATGCCCAACCACCGACTGCCCCTACGTTCAATGCTTTATGGTGTAGTAGTAGGTTGGAAGAAAGCTAGGGGCGGCCAGACCAAAACATGGCATAAATCCATGAAGTCGATGACAAGTGGACTAGGCCGTGTTGGTAGGTGTAGACTACCTGGTTGGGATTCGCGAGATGATAGCAACCGATGGTTAGAGACCTTGAATGACATGGCTCAAAATCGTTTGCAATGGCGCAGGTGCATACACTCTTTGTGTTCTACCAAATTCTAATCTGAATTCTTCATGTCTTTATCTGTTTCTCTTTCCAAATTTATTTCACTGTATTATACTCCTTCAATAACATCTTCAAACCCTTATCTTTCACATAATACTTATACTCTTACTACTTCTACCAATATGGGATTTGAATTGACAACTTCATCTCTGTGCTAATTTGGTATGGCGACTCGAACTGATGTACGTACGTACGAAGTTCTACGTTGTAACTGACTGACTGACATGACTTATTCTAGCTTCTTGACAGGCTAATTTATCCATTCTTCTTGAGTCACGTTTTCACCTTATTAATTATTCACTTATCAACCCTGACTGTTTTCATATTAGCGTATTTGAGTGTACATCTTATCCTACTGATCACATGTCTGTAGTTTATTTTTGTGTGACTATAAATATTGATTAATGCTTGATTAAATGGAGTTGACTCACACGCCATCTCCACTACACGTCATCTCGCTTTGCTCTCTTCTGTTCGCTTCATTCCTCCGATTGTATGTTCAAATCAATGGGTGTAAAAAATATGTATTCTAAAATCCATTCTCTCATTTGACTTATTTTAATTCCGTTATTCACTAATGCGAATTAATTCGATAATTATATACGAGGATAACCAGGATCTATATTTCGATAACAATCATACGTACGATCTAACGAGTCAGATCTCGAAAAGACATTCGTGAATGTGGGTTTTGTGTTTTTCGATGATATGCATAAATGTGGAAATTGAAACAGTAACCATACTCTCTCAGATATTAAAATTTTCATCACCTTGCGTTACAATTAGGTGCATTTTTTCAAGATTACTTGGATGACTAGACGTGATTGTCAAAACAGGTGCTTTTTCTAAACATGTTATAAATACCATTAAGTATGTCGAAATTACATAGTATAATCTGCCACACCGTTCAGTAAAATGTTGATCCAAAGTAATTTTTTCTAATAAGTAGTCTGGAAATGCATTTCTCGTTATACAAAATGACCATATTTTCTCTCCCATAGATTATCCTATATTACAACAATCAGTGTAATTAAGTGAATTAAGGTAGTGTAAAATTTATGTTTTGCTTTCCTAGAGCATAATTTGTTTTTTTCTAATTTTTTATTTCGAATTCAGACAATTTGTTTATTTTTTGAGTCGTTCCCGTTGTCTGGTCATTAAATCTGTAGTCGGGAAATATGAGATTGTTAAATGAATTAGTTTCTGTATCTGAATGATTTGTGAGTTGTATAAGATTTTGCGTTTTATCAGAAATAAACAAAAACTTTTAATTGTTTATTAGATAGTTGTACTTCGTACATGTTAACATTAATCAGTAAAGGAAATACATATAACTAAAATTCGAACAAGTGTTGTTGAGCTCCTTAGCCGAAGATATTTGCAATCATGAACTGCAGTGATAGATTACAAATTTGTTCATTCGGCTGTTGGTCTCAGTTTAGTTAAGGAAGCGTAAGTCTATCCCGTCATCTAATGAGTCAAATTAATCCCTTTTTACAGACGTAATGCTCAGAATTGAGCTGTTCAATTTTGCTAGTGGTAGTTGTCTCTTGCTGTAAAGTGCCGGCAAGCGTTAAATCCAACCTGAATGTCTTATTTTGGTAAGTACAACCTGCTTGTGATGCTATGTCACATAGATTAGTGGGGAAAATTATATTGTGATCAATAGACTTTGGTTAGTATTGTTAACTCAGACAAAGCTATCAGGTGTTCCATTTGTATGGTTTCGAAGTTCGATATGTTTTACATTGATGGATGCACTAATAATTTATGATGTATCCAGATTTAAACTCAGCTCTTATGTGTACAGGACATTTTAAAATTGATCTCAGGAACTTTAAAATAGACGTCGAGCATGTCACTGTTAATCCACTAGATCAGAGCTGAGAGTTAATCATAATCGTCCTGAATTCTCATCAAGATAGGTGTATTTTACTTCATCTATAGACTTTTATTCACCATACTTCATGTATTGTACGAACTTTTTTGAAATATATGTATAGATCACTCGGCAGAAAGTGGTTGGACTGACAGTTCAAAAAGAAATGTGTGTATATAGAGGTCAATAAATCTAAATCTAATTCTTCCTATGGATAAATACTTGACCTTCTACTTTATTCAAACCCTTCGAGAGTCTAAGTGTTTCTAGTAAATTATTTCAAATAACAGTTTTTACACTTAGTTATGCTTTCCAGTTCTCTCTTTGATATTTATTATATTACCTATCAAGCTTTTTCCTATCTTCCTGTATATTACGCAGTAATAGCCACCATTATTCGGTTCAAAATTTATATATCTTTTAAAACAAGACGATTACCTATTAATCTGACTATTGAACTGATCAACCTTTGTTTTTGAAGAAAAGAAACTAAATTTATGGGTTGGAATGTATATTATTGTAATTTTCTCTGTTTTCATTTTGTTATTAAATTGGTATAAGGCTAAGTCAAATCAACTTTCTATTTAGGTGTGGCTTGAAGTTTTTATGGTGTTTGTAAACAGATTTCATCGTGAACGCGAAAGAAAAATGTAGTAGTATTAGTCGTTGTCGTAAACGCGAAATAGTGTACGGACAACCCATTCATTGTTTGATGGAAAATTACAGTTCTTTTGTAAAATGTGAAAACCATATATTAAATACGTTGGCAAATCTTCCACCCATTGTCCTTTACATCCTTCATGATTCTTCCATTCCTCAATTCCTTTATGTCTCTCTGTTTTTAGTGCAATTTTCTCAACCTTTTTTGACAGGCATTCAAATTCCTATTGGTGTTACGTACTACTTATGTCGAGAGACATAATTATCATACACTACAGTAGTAGTAGAAGTAATAATAATACTATATCGCCAATGCAATCCGATTTGGGACTGCGTTTTTTGAAAATGGAGCAAAAATATAAACCGACAAGTTGAAGGCCTGCAGAAATGATTGTAACATTCAGCTTTTTGTTTGGTTTATATGTAGCCTAAAGGAGGTATTTTGCGCGCTGGGGGAGGGGAAATTTTATGGGTGGTGTGCGAAAGACCTAGTGACTGTTTAATGCCTACATGTAACACTGCTATGAAAAGCTTTTTCTCAAGATCGCGTAAATTATTCTTTGTACTGTTATGAGTTTTGAATGCTTAATATCATTTAGATTTGAATTGTTTTGGATGTTTTTGTATTGGTTTGTGCGTATTTCAGTAATAAAAATTCATATCTTTTCGCTTCGAATTTATTGAAAAGAAATTTAGTGTGATAAAAGACATTCATTTTATAGTTAAAGCATAATAGGAAACATGGTATAGTAGTTTAGTGATTCAAGGAATTAACTTGATCCGTGAATTTGATGTTAGAATAATGCTTCACTTTATTCTGGTCAAGTAGCAAACATATCACTAGTGACTTACCCAAAATACATAATTAAGTTCTTAAATATGTGAATAAATACTTCATTGAATATGGTATGTTACTTCTTTGATCCTTTTATTTTTTTGTCGTTTTCTGTTTAGATGTTACTAAAGCACTTCCAGGTCACCAGTCGTCTACACGTTTTGAGGTAATTCTAATGATTTGTGTTATTTTTATAGAAATAATTACTTAGTTTTTGAGATGTGTGTAATTGATTGTGCCTTTTATTAACCAAATCCATTTTTTAAGTTCATTTTATTGTTTACGTTAACACTTAGAAATTATTTGGTATGTTGTATTTTGAGTATGGTAGAAAGGAGGATCTGTTGAAACGTACTAACTGTACATCTATCCAGTGATTTTAATTTATAATAAATGGAGAACGTTCCAGTACTACTGAAAAAACTTGATGGTAAACATATCCTATCTACAATTTTTTACGAGTTTCATAAATCTCGCGATCATTCTAATTATATTTATGTAATAAAGATTAAGGTCATCTTGGTTATTGTATTTTTTTATTGTTATTTGGATTATTATTAATGTGCCTTTATTTACTTTAGTGATATTCAAGATGCTAATATTCTTTTCTAAGTGTTACAGTTTATATTTTATTTGTTTATTTAAACATAACTATTCGTTCAAAAAGTCACTGAAGTATGTATGCATCACATAATAAAAATGACAATGTGAAGAGATAGGAAAAGTAATATAAGCATAATCAAAAAAGAACAGAAATGGATAGAAATTAGTGTACTAGAGTGGAAAAAATGATAGTAAAGGGTGAAGCAGACCAGTTAAAAATATACAATTAGAAAAAACCGTTTTAGTTAACGAAGTTCCTGTCACTTATATGAAAAAAGTAAAAGAAATTCACTGCAAGACTGCCACTGGTTTTTATTCTGAGCGATGTCTGATTATGTCTTAAGCCACTGTTAAATGGAACAATCGATACTGGTCAAGGAGGATAGAACAGTTTGGTTGATGTCTCCGGGGCAGCGAACCAGTTGAACTGTTCTTGAAAGAACTCTATCCATCGTCTAATACGTCGATACATGTTATTAGTTGGCATCTTATCAGCTTCACAAACTGTTTCACTCACAACAGACGTCTTGCAGCCAGTGACTGGGATGAGTTAAAAGAGCTTTCGGAAGTTACCAGATGCAGTTGCTGCTTTCAACTTGCTAGCACGTTCTAACCGCCAGACTTGTCGATCCGTACGCAAACTTTTCATAACTTCGTTACGTAATAATCTACGTTTATCGTCAAACTCGTGGTTACTCAGTAACCTGACGTGCTGCGACGAATTGTAAGGAGCCTCTAAACCCATTGCTAATAAGCGGAACGTTTCACGAAGCCACAAGAGACTTCACTCGCCATTTTCATGGGATCATGCAATTGCAGTCATCGCTCATCTATACCTTTCAGTGGGCTAATAGCTAGTCTTAGACCTAGCTGGATTTGATACTTAGTTGCAACAAAAGCTGCAGCAAATTCGTTCATATCGATCTGTTTGGTGCGGTCAATTTGTTGGCCACATTTGGAAACCTTCGTTCAACTCCCAAATATTTCATGCCTTGAAAGTCTCTGATATCGATAAATACTGAATAGATGTCAATAAGAGCAGTCTGAACTCAAATTTGTTTAGAATAATATGATTTAAGAAATGTGAAATTTTTGTTGATGTCTATGAAATAAGTTTTATCAAAGAAAATTTCGTCATTCAGTTCCGTTCATTTTGTAAATAGACATTTTTTGTTGAAATTTCAGTTATCATCAAATGATATTATCTTTGAAAACACGTGGAGATATAGGTCGTTTCCAGGTATAAAAATACCGGTTGTTCGTTCCCCTTATCCAACTTTTGGATCACCATGGCCATTACCATGGAGTTGGTCATCATCTTCATGTTATTATAATGTGGATATGAAACGATTTCATTTTGAATTCCATACAATTTCAAATGAGATTCTACAAGTAGGATGTTTCATTCTAATCTGTTAAACATTTTACCTTATTCTCTCCATCGTTTGCTTATACTGTTTGTTTATTTGATAAATACTGGAGTTATAGTTAATACCATAAGTCATTTTAGGGCCTCAGTGTTTGAAGAATGATAATCCTAGGTACCAGATTCTAATATTGACGGTTTATCTAATTTTTCAGTCCTCTTTTTCACTCAAAACGTTTACAAAAATTTGAATTAGTAGAAATAATGATTCATTGAAAGACTTGGGCTCCATACATATCGTTTGATTTCATTGTCTCTGATTACATCTGAACTTTATTTGGTACCATCTATAAATAAATGAATGAGAGCGGTATCCAATGAAATTGAAAATACGGATAAAAGACTTTCATTTAGGGGATGATCATCTTACTTTTATGAGGAGTGTAAAAGAAAGCTACAGTGGGATTGCGAACGGCTTCTATTTTGTTTGATCTCAAGTGGCGAATCAGAATGGACTGAAAGATATACATAAGGGTTGATACGACTCAACATCAGTCCGAGAGGTTACACCTTTCCTCAGCTAAACAATTAAGCCCAACCAGTGAAAACCCCGAAACATTGAAATTATTTTTGTCAACAGTAGTGAAGTACTGTATAAGAAAATGCGAAGAAAACTACTATAACTAAAGAAACAGGATGTATATAATTAAAAAATTAAACAGATGTATTACAACACAGTTTCAAAATTAATCGACAAGCAAGTTGACAGAATTTCAAAAATGAACCATCGGGTTTTAAATCAATTTCCTAATGATGACATGCTTCTTTCAAGGCTCAAATGTCCTCAATTCTACCTCATATCGTATTGTGGATGTACATTGCTGAGAAATTCTTTAAAAAATAAAAATAAACTGCTGTTTATTGGTTTTTGATTCTTCTAGGTATCTGTTTCTCTTTTCTAATGTATATTAGTAAGAAACATGGAACCAAGTAGGTCTAAACTTTTTATAGTAATCTTAAGTCAGCATAACAACTGTTGGAAACCGCGTAGAAAACCAAGCAACTGTTATTTAAGTATTTCGAAATTCCTTTACTTTTGCATACACTGACAAGTTTTTTACTATTGATTTAACTCTAAACATTGTTGGGTTTACGATGAATTTGTTATAAGCTCCAAGTAGTAATGTCTTATTTCAATGAAAATATGACATTAATTTGTTCAATATTGTATTGACCTTTTAACTGATATAAACGTCAAATTATGACCATGTATTATGACATGTAACACGAACCCATTATCTAATAATTATCATTTTATATTGCCTACAGGTTTTGTTACTGTTGAATGATGAATACACATCAGTACATCAATCTCTTTTCTCTTTCTAGTCAGCTGTAAATCGATATACGTATATGATACAAAATAAGCTTGGTTTTTCTGTGTACCCAAAAGTTTGGCAACATAATGAAAAGAATTTATTCAGTCATTTCTCTGATAATTATCAGTCGACATGTGAGAATTCTCCTGTAAAAAGAAATCACGATTTTCGCGGCAGTAGTTGGGAAATAAGTCCATCATCATTCCGAGCAAATCGTCATTATTCAAGTACTACTACTAATCACTCCCATGATGCTAATTTAAAAACTTCAAATGATATATCTCATAATTTTATATCTGAACAAATGTCTCGTTTAATTCGCAAGTACAAATTATCTGAACACAGTACACGACGTAGAGGAATTAAAAAATCTGCTTTGTTGCATGTGATAAATCCTGATTCAAAATTGCCGCATGTTAATATGGATGAATCTTGTGAGTTATCTATATATCATAATGTTTTGTCATTAATGTATTATAATCATTTGTTCAAATAAAGTAAACTATCGAAAATTAAAAATTTCTGTGAGGTCGATCAACAACAATACTCTCTAGCTACTCAATTGTGATGCACCTCTAGAATTCATAAAATGAAGACAGTAACTTTTTACCGCCATCGAAAACTGTCAACTTTTGCTATTGGTTTACGGTAATTTCTAATTACGAACTACTGAAATCCCGTCTAATGCAAACAGGATCTTATAAAAGCTCAATATATCGGGCGACCGACATACAACACTGACAGCTTTCGCCTATATATATATATATATATATATATATATATATATATATATATATATAAGCAGGAATCATGAACGTTGGGAGGTAGAGTAAAAATTCACAAATGAAATGTAAAAACAGACAATTATGTGACGCCAAACGGTGATATGAATCAGCAAAATGCTCTCGCAGTTATTTTCACACATTAAAGCTATCTTTCATTGATAAAAATATGAGATAAAGCTGGTCTTTCTAGCTAATATCTAGATAAGCCTTTTATCCAGAAGCCAATGAACGATATTTTAAAGAAAACGTTTTTTGTTTAAGAATTGATGGATTAAAATGAAAAAAATACTACTATTGAATTCTTATCATAATTACCGCCTAATGAACATAATTGATCTCACTTTGATGATATTGAGTTCTCTCCATTTTCAAAGAGTACAACAACGCTATCATCCAACAGAAATATTGTTCTGTTGTTACGTAATCCCGACAATAGCAAACTAACTATTGCTTTCATTTCATCATTCCTTCAACTGATTTGTTTCTTATTTGTAAATAGTAGTCTATCATTTATGTTTTTGTTTGGTGTAGTTAATGTAAATTATTTCTCAGTTTTTAAAATGATTGCTCTTATTTTTTATTATTTCAGATATCCTATGTGTTTCAGGAAATGGTATTTTTATTATTGCTAATGAAACATGGGGGGCTTTAAGAGGCTTAGAAACACTTAGTCAATTAATGTGGACTATAAAGGATCAGTCTCATGTAAGTATCTTTGTTGAATTCATTTAATTGTATTCTTCATTTTGCTTTCATTATTCACTATTTTTAAATGACGAGTTTATGTTGTTCCGATTCGTCTAAACAAATTGGAATTCTGATATACGTGAATATTATGCACTTATTAAATGATGGTAAAAAAAGAGTATGCCTAAATGAACAATTTTTAATGTTATACATAACGTTAATGAAATTCTATAATTTGTTTACTGCCGATAGTTGCGACTATAATTTACAAGCATAGAGTGTGTGTACACAAGTCTATTCTGCGCATTATTATTGATTGGACATTTTGAACAAAATTGTTTTTGAGGTAGTTAACGAATAGGTATGCATTTTAAAGCTTATTTTAGACATTTTTAGAACGTTTATAAATCTTAGGTAGTTTGTGTGGATGTGTATAATTTAGAGCTTGAGTTAATCATGTGCTGATTCCGACTAAAAAACCACCTTCGTATGCTCCTCAACAGTAGAAGTGGTCAGAGAACTGGGAGAAAATCGACTCAATGTAAGGCATGGGTAACCGAAAATGGATGTATAAGATCCAAACAGTCAGCTACAACGTAGTGTAGTGAACAGAACACGACTGGGGACAATCGAATGTATTTAAGCAAGAATTACAGACTATCTCAGTAAATTCTGATAACCATACAATGAACAGTTAATTTGCAAAATAACAACCAATTGTCTCAATCTTCACTGTTTCTTCTCTAATTCCATTGTTCATGCATTTTCCTACCGATTGCGCTTCATTTCAGTTCTTTCCTTATCGGTCTTCTGCCAAAATACATTCTATGTCTGACCAACACCATTTAGTACTTATATGGATATAAGTAGACCACACCACAGTAGGACCAGGCACATTTATGCATCGGTCTAAGTTGCCATATCTTATTAGCACAACAAAATTTACCAAATTCATAGAATCAGTTACCTCAATGTTGTTAATATATAAAAGAAAGATTGTGTGCAGTGCTATTCGATTTTTAATCAGTATTCATTTACAGTCATCCGACTTTTACCTTCAAGTTGTGAAAATTTTTTCCTACTTTCCTTTCATTACTATTTTTCCTACAGGTTTTTGTTAATCAAACGTACATTGTCGATTACCCCCGTTTCAAACATCGTGGATTAATGATTGACACTTCTAGGCATTTTATAAGCAAATCTGTTATTTTATTGAACTTGGTAAGCTTGTTTTTATACTTTTATCCAGCATCGTCAGTTGTAAACTTATACCTTACTAAATGATATAGTGTCTATTACAACTGTTGGGAGCCTAAATTCCGTCTAGCAGTAACTTAATCTGTAAAATGTTGTGCAGTATTGCGAATTGCTTGAATTTAGGCATAGACAACATTGGTTGCTACCCCAGTAGTGTTAAGGTTAAGTGAGCAGTCACCGGGAAACTTAAATTTCTTATGTTTGGTTTAGGGGTGGTCGTGAGTACATACTACTGAGGGTCTCCACACTAGCTTGAAGCAGTGCCTATTAGTTTTCAATGAATGTATAAGTATAAAATTTAATAATCTCCACAATCTCCAACGTTAAAGAATTACAGTAATTGTAGAATCTAATGAATTTCTCGCAATTAATCAAATGCCACATGTCTTCTAAATCCAATAGTTAGTTTACTAGATCTGTACTTTAGAAGTTTGTGTCTAATTCTCATCCACTAGTTTGTTTATTGAAAACCGATATTACCACTTCAGTTTATACAGTATTGATGTCTCTTATCTTCACATTAAAAGTATTCTATTCACTAAGGTTCATAAAAATTTTTAAATAGACGGGACTGCAGAGGTTAGATGAACGGAAGTAAAAGTTTATGCTTCGCATTTCAAAACGTTGAACGTCTTTTGTCTTCCTAAGTCGATTGATTTCTGCAAGATTCAGATGTTTATACTTCTAATTATAATGTCACTGAAGTAAATGCTTAATATAAACTGTATTTTTGTTTATTGTTTCTTCTGAATAAAACAAAATACATTTTGACAATATCTTGTCTATTCAAAATGTTCATATAAAGCTTGCTTATTTTGATTGACTTAATACACTGAAATAAATTATGTATATCCCTAGTCAGTTTTTTAAAATATACTATAAACTTTGACTTTTGAAAGCTATCCATTTACTTCATAATATGTATTTATCTTTCAATGTAAATATATGTTCGTTTCAAATGTACAATATGTTAATAATATATTGTCTAAATGGAAGGTGCACCATTATACTGATATGATATTGTGAATTACTGATAACTGAGAAATATGACATTAGTTACTTTGCTCAAAGATCATAAAGTATTTTTCGAATAGTATTATATAACGTTTGGCTTCAAGTATAAATTTACATCTGCATTAGGAGGATCTGATGTAGATGTAAAGGCAAGGATTGACAAAGCAGCGGTAACATTCCCACAACTGAAGGACACATAGAACTCTAAACAACTGTCAGCCAACACCAAAACCAGAATTTTCAATACTAACGTCAAGACAGTTCTATTGTACGAAGCCTGAACTTGGAGAACTACTACAACTATCATCAAAAAGTACAAGTATTTATAAACAGTTGCATTTGCAAGATACTCAATGTCCGTTGACCGGTTACCATCAGCACGAACGTACTGTGGGAGGGAACAAACCAACTTCCGGCCGAAGAGGGACTTGGAAAAAGACGCTGGGGGTTAATCGTACATGTATTACGGAAATCATCAGGGCCGCGAGGCAAGCTCTAAGGTGTGAAATCCTGAAGGCGAAAGGAAAAGGGACAGATCAAGGAACGCATTACGTCGGGAATTGGAGGCAGATATCAAAAGAATGAATAGGAATTGGAAACAGTTCGAAAGGAAAGAGAATGGAGGACAGAGTTGAATGAAGAATGCTGGTGGGCAGCCTATGCTCCTCCACAAGGCGTAACCGACGTAAGTAATAAATTTTCTGCATCTCTCGTGTCTCGAATCTGGCCCACAGTAGCAACCAAACTTAAGGTAATCTGAAATCGTTTTAAACTGTAGGTTTAGTTTTAATTCAGTGTCATCATATAATTGTAAACTGATATTTACTAACTTGTATTTTTTTACTTAGTTTTTAATATATTTTACCTCATTCATTTTGTAATCCTAATAGAATATAACTTGTCCTCAATTTTAAAACATTTGCTCTTCTGAACATCATAGTTTATGTTTAGAGAAATGACAGACGTTTGCAATAAGAAATTCCATTTTCTTACATCTAGTCGATACTGAATACCGAATTGATGAGAAAATAGTTTTTAAATCTACCTATCGAATTCTAATTAGTCTACTTTGTGTTTCAATATTTTAACTTATGGAGGAAGTAAAAACCGTAGGAGTTCACGTGAATCAACCTGACTGATATATATTTAAAAGATGCTTGTGCCTCTTAAAAATTGACCATATGTCTAATCAAGTGATTAATCCAAAACAACATTCATGGTAATAAAAGTAACCCTTTCAATTTAGTATATTTTTTCTCTCTCTCTTATTGTAAGATCTTTGTAATCAATGTTAAGAAACCAGCCTGGTGATTTATTCAATTACATATTTATATTTTGCATACATTTCGTTAATATTTTGATTTTGGATATACTTTCTATCTTCTTTAGGAAGCTATGAGTTATAATAAATTAAATGTTTTACATTGGCATATTGTGGATGACCAGTCATTTCCATATCAAAGTGATGTATATCCTGAACTTTCAGCTAAAGTATGTTTTGTTTGGGAATGATAAGTTTTTTGCAACTAGAAAAATAGATATGCTTTTATATATGATTAATTATCAAATTTGTAAAATAGACCTTTTGTAACTTTCGGGTGATTTTCATTTCTTGGTGCAATTGTGGTGTGTGCTATTTATACGGATAGTAGTATCAGGAATCGGAAGTAGAATTCTTATTGATAGAAGAGGAAAATGAGAAGAAAAGAAGAAAAACAGCGCAGTCAATGTAACAACAGGAATGGAAGAACGGTAGGGTTTGTAAGAGACAGCTCAAATATGTACAAGTAGTGTATTTATTGTACTGTTTACTGTTTACAAATGCAGCGTTTATTTTGTATAAAACAGTTGATTTGCCCATGAACAGATCTTCGTTCGTTAGCCTATCGTATAATGTGTCATTGAAACTAAATAGATGTTTCATCTATTACGAGACTACTTCGTTATGTGCACCGACCGACCTCATGCGAGACAAATTTTCTGGTCCTTCGTGCCTCACGGAGGGTGAAATAATTTAAACCACGAAATCGACATCCGAACATCTACATTTTCAGCTTCAATTAATTCGTAATATGACGCGATTCTTATGTAATATGTAACTTTTATTCCTGAAAAAAATCGTTTCAGTCTCTCCCTACGACTATTCTTCTCTCATTTTAATCTTGTTTGGTGACTGAGCAACAATTTTCTTTTTAGGAAGAATTAATGGCTATCAGTATTTATCCACAATTAATTTCTAAACTATCAGTGATAAGGTTTTTATCGTAGTGGATGAAGTTTGCTTCTCACACTTTAATACTGCTGCCTGTATTATTATCTCACAAATCATTGCTTTTCTCAGTCTTACCATAACCAGTTTTAAAAATTTCAATTGCTTGGATCCTCTTTTTTCTCGGTATTGTTAAAACGTACTTGTCTGTTAGCGTAAATTGGTTTAAGTATTACATCTCATAATTTGTCTGACTGTTGTCCATTGGTCATTCACTGTAGCACTGTAGCTTCTTTTTTCATAGCAACATACGTGTAATTTCTTTAGGTTGAAATATTATTAAATTAAAAGGGTCGGTTAGTGAGGTTTATATTTACCGTTTGATAATTTTGAATAATTGCACTTTAGCTACAGTTTTATTCCTTGCGCGTGTAACATTTTATTGTTCTCATAATTTATTACCATGTACACGTGTTTGTATGTCTGTTCTGGGTATTTCTAGGGTGCTTATCGAGAAGACTTAGTTTATACATCGAAAGATATCAAAGAAATTGTGGAGTTTGCCCGATTTCGAGGCATTCGTGTTATTCCTGAATTCGATATACCAGGTATTGTTATTTTTCAGATACGCATGTTATATCACGCACTTTATTATACATTTATGAACTAAGTTTCTTTTAATTTTAGTTTTCATATATTTACTTGAAATAACAGGATTTTCAATACTTTCTTGTTTCTCCCACCAACGAAATGCTCTAAATTTACATGTTCTTGTTTTACTTCACTTAAATTTTAGCTTCTGGTATTCTAAGGTGTTGTCATACATTTCTGTTCACACTCTTTTTTCTATTTAAAACACATAGATAAATTAGAACAACATATGTAAGCGAACAATTGTTTTCAATTAGATCGTCATCAGGCTTTACTCTAATATACATGAATATTTATATGAAAATGTTAGACCAATTAAGGCTATTTGAGTCAATAATCACAATGAAATAGAATACGTTACCAAGCATAATAATAGTTAAAAGTACAAGTTGATAGTGGGAAGACAGGTGTACTGATAGTAGTAAGAATAGTAAATTACGATAACAAAAGTCTTATCAATAATTAAACATAAGCATTAAGAGGTCAAACGTGGGTAAATAGACTGGAATAGTAATCACAAAACATTAAAATCATTACGTAATAAGAAGTATGTAAGTAAATAGATAGTGAAGAATACAAACGGAAAGAGGTAGAAAATTACAAAAAATGGCTCGTTAAGTAGAAGCGTGTATAGAAAAAGACCCTCTGCCTCCCAATACACTCACTTCTATAGCTTTACACCTATCCAATATAAGAGAAACTTGGTTAGATGCCTCACTAGTATAGCAAATAAAATCTGTTCTGTTGATACTTTAAGTTAGGAACTGCAATTTATCTATAACTCACTGACTGAGATCGGCTACCCTGCTGCGTTCATCAAAAAGTACATGTATGATACAAGGAAGAAATCGGAGATTTCAACTGTTCGTAAGAAGCCTCTATACATGAAATTACCATTCAACGGGGATGTAGCTAGTGAAACTCTGAAAGATAGGTTAACAAAAGTAATTAGTAGAGCTTTCTACGCAGCCTATCTCGCATTGACTTTCTCGAGTCGACCAGTGATGTCTACTCAAACGAAGGATAAGTTACCTGAGTTGGCCTCCTCCATGTGCATTTATAAGTTCAGCTGCTGCTGTGGAGATAGCTATATCGGGCGTACTACTAGGCAACTTAACCAACGAATGAGTGAACATCTACCAGCATGGTTTGGAAATGGCCAAATAAAAACAATACGCAGTTCTATCTTGGCACATCTAATTGATAGTGGTCATATTGTTGATAAATTGAAATCATTTCAAGTGATCTATCGTATACCTCCATCATTTCCCAACGGAGTTCGCTCCCGTCTACTTCATATAGCAGAAGCCATAGGAATTCGTACATTCCATCCCAATTTATGTGTACAGAAGAAATTCGTAACCCCCCTATCCCTTCCATGGCCGGACATAACTTATTATTATGTCATCGTAATTATTATTATTTGTAAAAAAATTTTATTTTTGCTATCTTAATTTGGTTATCATTTTTTGTAATTTTCTGCCTCTTTCCGTTTGTATTCTTCACTATCTATTTACTTACATACTTCTTATTACGTAATGATTTTAATGTTTTGTGATTACTATTCCAGTCTATTTACCCACGTTTGACCTCTTAATGCTTATGTTTAATTATTGATAAGACTTTTGTTATCGTAATTTACTATTCTTACTACTATCAGTACACCTGTCTTCCCACTATCAACTTGTACTTTTAACTATTATTATGCTTGGTAACGTATTCTATTTCATTGTGATTATTGACTCAAATAGCCTTAATTGGTCTAACATTTTCATATAAATATTCATGTATATTAGAGTAAAGCCTGATGACGATCTAATTGAAAACAATTGTTCGCTTACATATGTTGTTCTAATTTTCACAATGGGAATCTTTAACATAGATAAATACACATAATTTCAATATCAAGCAATAAAACTTCATTCATATTTTGAGTTTTTCTAATCACGACTGGTTATTTTTCAGTGTATCTGTTTTTCATTTTTCAACCTCTTTTATATTAAAATACATTTTATCAACTCCATGGACACCTACTTTGAAGGCAAACGCATTTAAAACCTAAACGATCATTATTTTACTTTTCCCGTGAACTTTGAGTTTGAAAATTATATTTTGTTGATTGTTAAATTCAACCATGACATACAGATTTGTGTGTTAAAATGTGAAAATCAATTACCCATGGGTTGATTTCACTACATCACTATCCAAAGTTTTTGATACATTGTATATGGTATTTCAACATTCAGTCAGCAAATTAAACATTAAGTCCTTATACAATGCAACAATGACTTTACCTTTCCATAAATAGCATTACTTACTTACTGTTACTTCCAATGGAGCATAGGCCGCCGAACAGCTTTCTCCAACCCACTCTGTCCTGGGCCTTCTTTTCTAGTTCTATCCAGTTTTTATTCATTCTTCTCATGTCCGTCTTTATTTCTCTGCGTAATGTGTTCTTTGGTTTTCCTCTTCTCCTTTGACCTTCATGATTCCATGTGAGGGCTTGTCTTGTGAAACAATTTTGTGATTTCCTCAAAGTGTGCCCAATCCACTTCCAGCGCTTCCCCCAGATTTCTTCCTCCGCTGGAATCTGGTTTGTTGTCTCCCACAGTAACTTGTTGCTGATAGTGTCTGGCCATCGGATCCGAAGTATCTTGCACCTGACATGTTGAAGTTATTGCTTCTTTAATCTCTTTCCAGTTGTTACTAGGATGTAGCTTGAAATTCACGAGCTTGTTAGCATCTTGAATGCTACTTGTTCAACTGTCCAATGATGCTTTAACTTCAGTTTTAGTTGGATGATTATCAAATGGTGATGTGAAGCTCCTCAGATCAACTCCTCTCTGTGCTCTTGCATGTTTGATGGACTTTCTGATCCTGTTGTTGATTGAGATGTGATGGACCTGGTCCTGTGTAGTGTTGTCCGGTGAAAGCGAGGAAGCTTTATGTATGCGTTTGTATGCAAAAATGGTGCCACCTTCAACCATGTTGTAAGTACGTGGATTTGCAAGTCCCTCACCGTTCTGGTTACTTATTCCCATTCCGTACCGTTCCATCACATCTTCATACCTATTGCTATGCATTCTTATTTCGCCTATCAGGATCGTCAGATGTTTTCGTAATTACTTCTCGGAAACTGATTTTCATCACCTTTGCTGTTATATGACATTCAATCTCTGCCTTCTCCGTTTTGTAAGATGTTTTTTGTGTTGAGTCTATGAAATTTTTATCCTATAATTGGTTTTTATGCTTGTTAGAAAATCATCAGTGCAACTCTTTGTTTGTTCGAGGCATTTTCTTCATGTCCTGATTCGAATAGGGCCTCTCGCATGATTAATCTTTCCTGTCAAACTTACGTACAGTAGGTTTTACTTATTCTGAGCGTCGCCTGGTTGTGTCTTCTTATTTCCGCGACTCTCTGAGTGGTCTCTCGGTCTCTCACATTATGCAAACACTCCACATGCTTGTATTGATTGATACTGTGGTCTTCAGAACAAGCATAGGCGTCGTGATTGCGGAGGAATTTTCGCTTTCACCATGAGGTCTCATGTCTGTTTTAAATGAAGACCTCTCAAGTGTTAGAATAGAGTCTTGATAGTTACAATAATTTTCTACGGGATTGAAAGGTTAACTTTATCTTCAACCATTCTCTATCCAAAGTTTGATCGGTAATCACTTTAAAATAATACAGGTTAAGTTACATCTGACACTACTGTTTTGAAAAAAGAAGAATATGCTGAAGGAAACTGTTATTTCCAATCAGAAAGTGCGTCAAATTTGTTTTTAATGTGGATTAGGCTTCTGTATCATGCGACCATGGTAACCTTAAGAATTAAAGTATATAAACAAAGCGTTGGTTTTCAAAATACTTTTTAATCACATAAACAAACGGATACACATTTTTATTTTGATGAATATACTTATAAAAGTATTTGATTACTTCAGTGTATCCCGAGTTGTTCGATTTAAGTTTTATATCATTGTAATGGGTTATTTGATTATCAAATGAGTAAATCATTGATTTCTGAATAAATCCTGATTACCTCCTCTCTTGTTTGCAATTTTAATCAATTAGATCTCTGCGAAGTCACATCGGTAAGTAAGAACCGCTAGTAACTAGCTTTAAGATGGATTTTTCAGTATTACAGTAAAAGGTCCCGACTGTTGTATTTTATGATGTTGATTCACCAATAACAGTGATTAAAGTACACCCTATGTTATCGCTTGATCGAAATTTAAAATGTAAATTGTTTAAATTTGGCTCAGTAGTTTGCAAATATGACGCCTTTTGTGGTCCGAGTATTTTAGTTTTCATCCTTAATCGGCTCGTGGTTATTCATTAATGAGTATTAATAGCAAATTAAGTCAACTTGTAAACATCGTACTACTCTCATATCATCGCATGATAATTATTTGTATTATTGCTACAACTTTATGCATTGCTTCAAACAATCTAGGTTATATGTAGGCAATCTGCTCATGATCTGTGAACGTGGGAGACGGTAATTAGTAAACTGAACATAATTTAAAACCAGTGAATTGTATCACAATAGTCTATGGGTCAAAATGAAGCTCATAATAAGAGGAATATAGATATACATAATCTTGTTACAAAATAGTTATACAATAAGAATATATATAATATTAGTCCATTAATAGTTCTCAGAAGTTACCCGTATTTCAGTCTTCACTAGGATATAACAGTATCAACAGCGGAAAAACTGAAATTCTTGAATATATAATTTGGGTGTCCGTTTTCGTTATTTGTGATATTGATGTATCACTTTATAAGAATATCTCCAGCTTAATTTTAATAAGTTTCCAATCAGTTCAGTCTTTTGTTTTTTTAAGAGCTTATTTTCGTTTAATAGTGTGCAAGATGTATCTGTAAAAATAACTAGTAAATATTTAAAAGCTTGCCGTAATTAAACCTCTTGTACTTTTTTGTGAACTGTCCGTTGAGTTATTCTCTAAAGCGGTCTTTGTTTCAATTTATTCTAATATTTGGTGTCCAAATTAAATATATTTAATTAAATGATTTTTGAAAATATCAATAACTTAATGTGTCAAGCGTTTGTGAATGAACTAACTCCAATCTATTTCGATATACCGTACATAATTTAGTCAGTACAACTGTTTGAATATCAAATGTTATTTGTTCTAAATGAAGTTAATTTATATGACTTTTCACTCATCAGAATGTATTAGTTGACAGTTTTGTTTTCTTGTTTTGGTTCTTTAAACTCCCGTAGGTCATACTCGAAGTTTGTCACTTTCTCATCCCGAAATTATGTCACAATGTCAATATGATTCTAAAAATCTTGCATATTACGGACCACTCAATCCAGCTTCAAATAAAACATATGAACTTTTAGAAAATTTATTTAACGAAGTTTTTCAATTATTTTTAGATGATTATGTTCATCTGGGTGGTGATGAAGTAGAAACAATATGTTGGTTAGTTATTAAACACCCTTTGGTTTTTTCAATGATTTTCTTCCAACTTTTCTGTCAGAAAAGCTTATTCTTTCTATAGAACAGCTTTTCATCCATAAGTAATCAATTATTAGATAGTTGGAGGTAGTTGAAAGGAAATCATGGACCCTATGTTTGTGCTGTTTGATACTCGTTGGCAAGGCGTACCTATAATCTTGAGTGAATTGATAAACCCTATAGGATTTGAACCCGCGTTACCTAGCTTCAAAGTCCTAAACATTTCCTCATGATTACTATTTCTTAGGACAGATCATTTATAAAAATCAAAAGAAACAGCAGTTTGTGATGCAATTGTAATCTTCGAAGAAAATTACTGATCGATATATTTGTATTTTCATGTTTAACTTTCCAACGTGTATTTATTCGATTGGAATCGCTGTTATATGGATAAAACCTTAAAACAAAATTTAATTTGGCTGATTAACTAAGTTGTTATAGACACAAGTTTTAATAGTGTTAAACTGTTGAATTCAATCGATGAGATTTCGTTATATGAAAATAGTAAAGTTTATCTGCAAGCGTTATAGCATTTCTATTTCTTATGATTTTACGGATCGGGATCACAATCAGAGATATTACTAATTTACTCTTCTAACTGTGGTTAGTCTTCTGTAGGACTATGGCGTTTATAATAATCGTTCATTAAGTATTGGGCGATGTTATGTTTTTTTTTTAATAAATGCTGTGAGTTCTTCATATAGCTGGTTATTTAAATACCAGTGTTTTACTTTTTACTGTTGTTAGTATGTACTGAAGTATTCAGCAAAGAATATTGAGAACCCTCTGCCTTTCTTATTTCTTACACATACATTTTTAGGTTTTCTTTCTTTGTCACTCAACACTGTAATCAGTCAGTTAGGTGTGCGCAGTGTAGAACCTGTCGCATATATCCATCGGTTCAAACTGCCACATCATATCAACTAAGCAACTTGAGACTATCTAGACTAATCCTAGAATAGTGGCAGTATCAGTGGTAATCAAAAAGCTTAGCAATAGACACTATGATATGAGGAAAAAGAACGAAATTGTAGGTTAGAAAAGTATGGGATAATTTTAAAGCTAAAATTCATCGAAAGGCAAAGAGTAAATGCATTTGTCCCGAATCTGGGGCATGTTAATTATCGTTCGTCGTAATAACCCTCTGGACTCTGACTAGGTAATCTGGAGATGCCAACACAATCTAAATGCTATTACTTCATAAACTGTCGGTACTTCTCGGGGTTATGCCTTGAGACGCTAATAGTTTTCACGTACTGAATTCACTAGTCAGGATTCTTAATAAAGTTCTTTCTATCCCCCGTCTACTATTGATTATAAAGTTTGGTATCTTAGACTTGACCAATTACACTTTCTGATCAGAACAGTTAAATTTAAACTGACTCAAGCTAAGCTCCTACTGGTTCACTATCAGCAAGCATTTCTCCGTCCCTTACTTTGAGTGGAAAGAAAAGTTGGTAGCCTGCTTCTACCGTATATTATATTTCAAGCACAAGTGGATTATTTACAGACATCTTGGACCACACCACACCTTAAGTGGAAAAAGTCACAATTGTATATGAACAAACCAAAAATGAATGTGAATAAGACAAGATGTAAATATGTGACTGTAGATAAGTTGTAAATAACAAGCTACATAATAATAATTGATGGGTTAAACGAAGATACCATTTCTTTAATCTTCTATCTGATACATTAATACTGACAGTTAGTGACATCATGAACTGATTTGACGTCTTGGTTTGGTTACTGCTGAGTTTATTTCAACCTGTTTCAAGTATGTGTAGATGACGGCTAGGTATGCGTAACATATGTCTTAACTACTTTTGTCAGCAAATTTCACGTCGTCAGCTGGTTGGAGTTTCTAATTAGCGTCCAATGATTACTTCAGCATTACTCATTCTATTGTACACTCAATCTTCCTCGATAGGGATAATTAGATTTCGCGAAATATTTTATCGGAATCGTAATTTTGTCATTTGCGATCAACTGAGGTAATTAGACTTCCCGTCAGAAAAGACGTGTCCACTGACCAATCTAATTATAATATGTAATTACTACTAATATGATTTTTTCGCGACTTACATAGAAACAATGGTACAAGAACTCAACAGAAAACAACTACTTCACTTTGCACGACGATAAAAACCAGTTTCACAACTAAATGATTCTGAAGCGGGTGGTGACCTTTAGAGATCATGTTATAGCATCTCTCGTACAATTAAGTTTGTTTAGGGTTAATTTTGTCAAGCCCTTCAATAACCTTATTTAACAGACAGTTATTTAAACGGTAACAATTCGTCTGCCTTTGTATTATTATTATTATTTTACTACAATATTCATCTTATGTCTATCAATTAAGACTGAAGATTGTTTTGAGTGTATATTTTACCGTCATCATATAAGTATGAAAAGCTACTTCAATGGAAATGAAAACTGAGAGTAATTGTAATAACGATGAGGGAACGATAAAGTTTATGACAATAATGTAAGATTTGCAAATGAAATATTTTGTGTATGGTTTTTACATTTTACGAATGAACTCTGTAATTTTGCATTGAAAAATAAGTTGATCTTCGTTCACTACGTCATTACTTCTCTTACACTTCTTCGGTTAAATAAAAGTTCTTAACTCCAAGCAATTTATGCTCAGATGTAACAGTTTAGTTCATCTGCTGTCGGTTTGTCATAATGAAATCATTAGACCATTTTTAGATCATCTCCGTGTTATTAGCTTCTCTAAACTGGGTGATTATATGAGAAACAGGACAGTACACAAATTTTCTTAGCTTTGTACCTTTACAGTATAAGAGAAAATTGATAAAAAAGAGTTATCGACTACATAGCTGTAATACCCTTGCCAAAACGGGTACCCTGGAAAGTTTATAAACAAATGTACAATCATGGTTACAATAGGCGAAATACAAACGATGGATAAGGAATCCCCGTTCATGCACCTGAAATTCGGAGGGGATGCTGCTAGCGAAATATTAATTCGGAGAATGCGCGGAACAATCCGAAAATCATCCAACGCTGGGGAACTACAAATAAAATTTTACACGCGCCCAATGGTGGCACCGATGCTAAAAGATGAACTAACCAGAATGACCACCTCATTTTGTATTTATGAGACTGATTGCTCTTGTACAGTAAGTTATATTGGTCAGAGTTTTAGGAATTTACATTTTCCTGCTCTCAAACAACTCCAAAAATGGCTAAGCAAAACCCTAATGAAGGTAGTGAACAGCTCGATAATGGTCCATTTAATGAAAACTGGTCATAGTGCCAGTATAAACCAATCCTTTACAATTACTTATCGGGTCAGTAACTTTTTGCCAAGGTTTGTTAGTTTCAAAGTATTAAACCTGATCACTTTTTAGATTAATAATTTAAATGGATAATGTGTTAAGTCGGCTTACAGTAAACTCTATCAGAACCTCCAGAGGCTCATAAATTGACCCAACCAATCAGCGATTAATTAGAAGCTATGCTACTAAAATAACGAGATCCTGATTGGCTGTTTAACACACTGCTACTATGGAAACTCAAGGTCTCTTAATTACTATAAAACCCCTGTATTTTCTGTACATAAATGAACCCTGTAGTAAAGTGTGTCTCTGATACTCGTGCCTTTTTTCTGGTCTTCAAGTCGGTGTATAGTTCTAGCTTAGGGAAGCGAATATAGCGTTCACAATCGGCCAGACGTAACATAACGTTAAGATCTGAAGAGAATCCGTTGAGACGAACATTCTTCGTTCAAATAAATGTTTTAGATCACATTAATTTACTTTCTCGATTCCATATATTTTCTTTGTTATGAATATTTATATCTTTTCTAAAAGGGATCGTGATCCTGGAATTGTACAGGGCGTTGAAAATTATGATCAATCCAGCTCAATATTTTGGATTAACTACTTTTGGAGATGGTAATTTGCTGACATTATTTTGAATAAGGATGTTTTTTTCTTAAGTCATTTACAAACATAGTAAGGTGGCGGATTATCAGTTTTTTAAATGATACTACCTTTATTTCCATTTTTTATGTTCTTCAGTTTTCGTAAAATAAACAGGAGAAGTTTTCTGAGTATTTTGTGTATCCTATTTCTAAATATCTCGATAATTTGGTTTTTATTCATGGGATTACTTTCTCATGTAGCATATGTTCTTCATTCGGTGTATATAATTTTATACTTTTTATTGAAATTCTAATTCTTTTCATGAACTTGTGTGGGTGGTTACTCTTCTCAAAAGCGATTTGTAGATATTGTTCTATATTTATCGTATTAAGGTATTTGAGGTCTATCAAAGTTTTATTTTTCCAGAATATGTATATTTCTACAGTAAATAGTTACTGTAATGACAATATCCACTTGAGAATTTCGGTGAAACGATATATATGGTCTACAACAATAAAATAATACTAATCAATTAGTAGTGCAACATAATAATTACACATTTTCGCAATAATCACAAATTAATATCAAATGATTGAGTAATTAGAAGAAAGAGGAATACAACAACCAAATTAATTTATTGCAGAAACTGTCAGGCATTCAATTATGACAGCTAGATTACATAATATTTAGAAAAAGAATTAGCAAAATCTTTCGATGAAAAGAAAATTTTATGGTAACTACGTAAGAATCAAAGGACGAATATTGTGAATATATAGAAACATACAAGTCAAAGAAATTAGAAAATTGTTTGAATATTTTTCGAAAGAATGAGGTAGTGTCACGATGGAGAAGAAAGTTCTTAGCTGTATTTTTTGTTTTACCAAATAATAATTTGTTTAGCTTACAACTGTGTACTGGAATTAACAAGAATAGTCAACAAGCATGGTAAGCAAAAATGGATAGTGACTAGCAGTGGAATCCAGGACTCGCGTTTCGTTCTATTTTGGTGGATGCACCTGCATCTCAGAGTTGATGTTCACTCTTGGACTTACCATGCTTGTGAATTTAGGCTATATCGAGGCAATACGCACAGTATGCACATATGCCAATTAGAGACTGACCAGTTGCAGTCCTAAAAACATCAATGGGAAGATTCAAACAAACAAGAATAGTCAACGTTTAATCTCGACAAGGATAATAGAGATCAATTTAATATGACTTTGCGGACTCATCAGAAACCTTCAATGTTAATTCGTTTGACTTATAAACAGATTATAAAATTAACAGATTCCGTTGCCGTTGCCTATCTATATTTCGGAAAGAATTTAATCCATATTTAGTGCATTGTACGCTAATTTACATTTATAAATAAGCTTAACTGACTATAAAACCGCTTATTAGTTTTTAGTTGGTAAAATATTATTTCACTCAATAATAAATATTTGTTTATTCACCAGTGTATCGATGCTTTTCATGTGAGAATACTTAAATGTAATCTGGATATTTATGTTCAAATGTATGATCGTGTATTTAATTTCTCCAATTTTGTCTTTCTACAGTGTACAAAATATAGTTACTCAAATAGGCAAGAAGAATCCTCAATCAAAACGAAATTTAATTCTATGGGAAGATGTCGTAGAACATGTAACCGATGTAAGGAAAAAATACTTTGTAATTTAAAGAAATTGCACTAAATATTCTACTTTTTTATCCCATTCGGGACTCGTCAGCTGGGGTTATACCTGCATCCCAGACTCGAAATCAGTACAAGTACTGTTCGCTCCAAACGCCATCGTGTTATTCACTTAGCTACTGCGTTAAAATAACCAGTGGCTTGTGCAATGGGGTTGAATTTTAATTCCTATATGTTGGTTATACGAATCTTCGCATTGAACTCTGCCCAACTAACTGTCTGTGGAGTTGCACTCCCTATTCTGTTGGTTTTTACGGTCCAGCACCTGACATGTTGAAGTTATTGCTTCTTTAATCTCTTTCCGGTTGTTACTAGGATGTAGCTTGAAATTCACGAGCTTGTTAGCATCTTGAATGCTACTTGTTCAACTGTCCAATGATGCTTTAACTTCAGTTTTAGTTGGATGATTATCAAATGGTGATGTGAAGCTCCTCAGATCAACTCCTCTCTGTGCTCTTGCGTGTTTGATTGACTTTCTGATCCTGTTGTTGATTGAGATGTGATGGACCTGGTTCTGTGTAGTGTTGTCCGGTGAAAGCGAGGAAGCTTTATGTATGCGTTTGTATGCAAAAATGGTGCCACCTTCAACCATGTTGTAAGTACGTGGATTTGCAAGTCCCTCACCGTTCTGGTTACTTATTCCCATTCCGTACCGTTCCATCACATCATCGTATCCGAGGTTGTACCGTGTAGTAACCTTCGGAGGGCTAGAAATGGAGTTACTACCAAGGTTAAACATTTACCAAGTTGTTCAAAGGATATTGTTAAATAAAAATCGCCAAGATTTATACATTGTACTGTTATTTTGTAAAGTTTTATCATGTGGAGATAAGTTATTCGTTGATAAACGTTTCAACAATAACTTGCATGCAATTTCGGTAATTAAATAAGGTTTACTGAAAATGAACTGAGATTATGTAGTGAAATTATCGTAGTTATTTTGCATACGGCTTCGTAATGTATTAACACCATTATGTTCACTGTGATAGCCATTTTCTCTACTTTATACATTGGCTTAATGCTTCTGGACAGCAATTAATTTAGAAATGGAATGAGACAGTTGTTTCAAGTAGTTATGTGATTCGGTATTTCATTTATATTCAAAGCATGACGTTTAGTCACTGAACTTTTTTTTCCATATTTTTTCAAAATTCCATGCATTCATTTTTTATGTACGCTCAATTTTTTCACAGCTTAATAAATCGCTGTTCGTTCAAGTCTGGAAAAGTTATTCATCATTTCATTTATCGAAAGGTTTCAATATTATCTATTCAATTTGCTGGTATTTGGATTTACTTAATGATATTAAGCGTTGGACAGATTTTTATCTGTGTGATCCATCCGATCGTAAGTCGATCATTTTCTAATTAATGTATACGTTAAACGACTATGTATAATCGGTTGACATGGAATTTCCGAAAATAGGAAATTATTGCATAGTAAGTCTCACGAGTGCGAAGTTAAAACCAGTTAGTTATGATTAATATAAAGCCTAGTAGGAATTTGTGTTTATTTATGCTTCATACTACATAAGGACAATGAAATGAAATTAATCAGGCATATAAAAATGTAGCCGAAATAATTTTAGTAATAGTGTTAATGAAAAACATCACTGAGAATATAATTCCCATAGGTTACTGGTTGTGATTTAACAGTCTTAAGTTTTTATTTTCTGGTTTCACTTATCATCAACTGTTAAAGGAAGTAGGATGATTTGCTGCTATTATCATGATTATTAATATCGGACATCGACTTACTCACCTTTTTGTTATTGCGGCGGTGGTTGTATTTTCTTGTACAGATGCTCCACTGGAAACTGAACGACAAATTCTAGGTGGTGAAGCTTGCATGTGGAGTGAATACCAATCGGATTATACAGTTCTAACAAAAATTTGGTAATTAAACTTATTACGTTAATCATATTGAAATGCTTTCACAAAGTTGTTTTCCTTGTTTAATTAACTGTAATATACTCATTATCTCCGTTTTATTTTTTTTGCTAGTACATTATAGAATTCAATGAATAGTTTACTATTTGAATAAGTAGTTTTCTACTCATTCAGTGTTCGTTAATCTAGTTTATCCAATACATTCCAGCTGTTTGCTGTCAAACCTAACCTTAACGAATGTTGACATATATATTTTCTCCTCGTGACAATTCTATGGTAGTCTATATTTTTTTATTTACCGAAGCATGGTCTATCCTTTAAAATACATGCATGAATATGTCATTAGTTAGTAATATTTTTAAAATAATTACAAAATGCATGCCAATCTAAAGGCATGATCTGGTTGATACAGAAATCAGTGTTAAGCGTAAAGTAGAAAAAAAAAGGTTCAGTGAAGAGTTCTCTTTCATTTTCAAAGCCGAAAATAAAGTTTCTCTGAACCAGTTTTTTAAATTTCATGTCTCAAAGTGTATATTCCTCAGTTATATGTGAAAAATAAATATATGAGGTCAAATTGTTCGAAAAGATACGTTCCATAAATTGATTCAAGTATACATTCATCACAAGGATTTTAATAATATGAGGGAACAGTTGGGAGCCATTAATTATTAATAGGACAAGAACATCTTATGATATATATTGATAAGTATATCAAGGGACAAAGTAATTGTCGTCGTCTGCAACGATATATTTCAAATGAATAGAAACAATTTAGATTAAACAAAAGAGAGTGTTCATTATCAAAAAATTCACCGGTTTAGGATGTTATTACTATTCTCGGATACTTTTTTACGTTCCACACTTCATGGAAGGAAATAAATGTCCATTCTGCTTTTTGTTGAATCTGTGCATAATTAGAATACTTTTTCTGGACAATAAATACTGATTAATTTGTTGAGATTCTTTGATAATTGCTATTTTTGGATATTTATTCATGACAGGCCGGTTACAAGTGCTGTTGCAGAACGTCTTTGGAGTGCCAAAGAAGTAAATGACTTAGAATTTGCCGGTCCGCGCATTGAAGAACAACGATGTCGTTTAATCAAGTAGGATTTAATTTTACAATTCTTAATCTGTTTATTATTATCTTCATGTTATTTGTATATACTTGTTATGTGTGATTAAATCTAATGAAATCAATGTTTAAGCATGTGGTTAAGCAGTTACTCTAAATATATGCTTCCTGAATATAAGATACTGTAATTACTGTTTAGACAATTTATCCAACAGACGCATTTGATTGTTACATAAAAGTATAAATTATTTTGTCCAGTAATAAATACCAATAAATTGTGTGAATGAACTTTTTTATATTTGAGAGTAAAAAATTAGCCATAAGTTAACGAAATTGGTTAGTCCAACTATGTATTTAACTAGTGATTCGGAAATATCAATAATCAAATACTTATAATTTAAAAGTAAATATAATCACATTTTCCTGTCTAGATTATCTGTACCATATTTTTATTGCCGTTTAACTATTTTACATACATATGCGCCACACAATAACAATGAGGCCCAGTGATAGTTATCGTTGATTTGTGTGTAAGCCGTTATACTGCCCGGGTGCCCAGACCGAAACAGGTGGTTTTCTTAGAGGGCATTCGAATTACAGGTCTGATCCACAAGGCAGTGGAGCAACGGTAAAAGATGCAATCCCATGGTTGCCCGTCCTCTAACAATAGGTTCATACGCCTTTTATTCCCTCAGGATCCTAGAGCACATGTACACCATATATATATATATATATATATATATATATATATACCATTTTAAGTAATCTTTGTTTAAGTGGAACTGTTACGCATTTGAAATAGGTTATAATAAACATTTGAAGCAATTATAATTGTTTAACTCGAAATGTAATAATTGTTAATTGTTTAACTTGAGGTTAAATTAAAATTCAAACTGGGAACCTTTTTGTTTAAATATAACACATTATAACATCGTGAGTCATGATAATTTGTTTGCTAATGATAAATAGTAATGATTTGAGTGATTAGTGTTCTCTCTTCTTTCCAGTCGTGGTATACCAGCTGGTGTTCTTCTTGGTCCAGGGTATTGTGATGGTACTAAACAGATGACAGCGTGGAATATCAATGAAATTGTACTAGATGAACATAAAAATATCATGAAACGAATGGGATCAAACAATAATAATAATAATTACATTTCTGAACATAAAAATGATGATTATTATAGACCTATTAATTTATGGAGTAATAAAGATTTGTTAATTGGTATTTTCATCGGCATTTTACTTACATTATTATTGCGCCATCGTAATTTTTTACCATTTCGAAAGGTCAAATGTAATTTATCAATTATACGTACAGTAGTATGTTTATGTATTTTCATTTTTGTAATACTAATGATTTTCTTTAATCATATATATCCTGTATTTGTATAGAATTTAAGTGGAAATTATAATTTGGTCTCTACTACTACTAACATACATGATTACATAATTTTGGTGAAACTTCTATTATATTTTTCATTTTAATTTCTTATTGACATTTAATATTGAAAATTTAGTTATTTATCTCTGCACTCATTATTCTTTGATTTTATTTAGTGTATATGTATATATGCCGTGTTATTGCATTTTAACTTGATGATTCTAGTGTTCTCTTTCGTACTCTTTGTCTTTCTGTACGGAATGCCTATTCACTTTTGCTAAGCGTTAAGTATTTTTAAGACGCTTCCCAAGACGTATATCTACCTATCTATCCAAATAATAATGTGTTTGTCTGTAATCATGTTACATACTTTCAGTTTTTTTATTTGTGTATTTATGTATTTATTTTATTCTTTCTTCCTTGTGTTATACAACATTACCTCACTTCACCCGATTCCACTACTGTTTTATTGTAAGGAGGAACTATCGTATTGTCTCTAATAATCATTAAAAAAAACATGAATCTATATGTCATTGTCTTTCCTATTACATATTACACGTAAATCTCTGTAGCTAAGGAAGAAGCAGAAAAACTAACTCACACTTCAGTCAGTAATATATTATTTTTTCTTATTTTATTCCTATTAAAGGAGTTATTATTAAATTATCGCCTTGTTTTTATTAATGCTTTCCTTTGTTTTCTTTGCGTGCTTTTTTATTTCATTTGTGGTTGTGTTTCTTCATAAACGAAAGGCAAGACTTTTCCTTATGTACTGCACTGACACATAATGCTCTGTTATATTCACAAATGGTACATACTTATTTATTCATTCGTTTGTTGACTTTCCTCAACTTCTATGGATTCAGTGTTCTTTATGTTTTAGACTATTTATGCTTTATTTCCTAATTTTCTTAAATATGATTGGTACTAAATGTTCACTGGATGTTACTTCATTTAATGGAAACTTTCAGTCTGGTTTTGAAACCGAATAAACTATTTTTACATATATGTGAAGTAAATGTATGTACATTTTTCGAATTGAGTGATTTTAACATAGTAGCCAAATGGAATATAGTTTTTATGACCAAAGCATGTTTTTCAAGCATATTATTGGGACTGGGTTTACATGAAAACATTAGAGGTATGGTATTATGTACGTTCATTCCGCTTATCCTGTATACCAAGTTGGAAAAAAATACCCATTTACATTCAAAATCACTAAATTAATGGAAATGATCTGACCCCGTAGAACTCCTACACTGAGTCATTTGGTAATGTCTATGGCTTGCTATTAACAAAATCACCTATAAAAAGCAGTCCCGAATCATCTGAAAAATTCATTCAACTATAAAATTCCATACAGTCGACAAGTAAATCCATAAACCTACTCGCTTAAAACGAGTAGACTATCCTGAATGACACGATTTGTAACAACTTTTTAAATCAATTTTTCAGTCGTGAAAACTTGAATTCTTTCGAGATCACGGATCGATCTAATTTGGGTAACCATTGGAAACCTGGTAGCACTGGACATTTGTTTCCTGCCGGTACAGAACTCTTTAGCTGTAGTATCCATGGCCTTGCCACCTGATACTAAGTTTGGGATCTTCGCTCTCCCACACGAATACCTAACCACTAACCCAATGGTGTACATGTCTAGCTCTTAACAATCTGCGATACTAAACGACAATCTCTTATCTCCAATCGGTACATTCCTCACACTCGATGCAGCTGATCTCCACCAGCCACGGCTTCTCAAGAGAGCCTCGGAACACTTCATGGAATGAGTCAATATTCGTCCCTATCTTTAAAAAGGGTTCACGTTGTTCATGTAACAACTATCGGAGGATAAGTCTACTTCCGATTGCATCCAAACTATTGGCTTCTGTCATTCTTCGTAGGTTGTTTAAAACGCGAGAACGATTGACTCGCGAGGAGCAGGCTGGTTTTCGTTCTGGTCGAGGATGCATTGATCACATCTTCACCCTCCGTCAAATGTTAGAACACCGTCATACTTATCGCAGGCCAACAATCGTAGTGCCTGAGAAGTTCATTAACATCTTAAAGGCCCTGTATACGAACACCTCAGGCAGAGTGAGGGCATACAACCACCTTTCTCCCTTGTTCCATTCGAGCAGTGGGGTTAGGCAGGGTTGCCCGATCTCACCATTCCTCTTCAACTTTGCCATCGACGACATCCTGGAAACAGCTCTGATGGATGTAAGTAATGGCGGTGTGGATAATTTGCCTGGAGAACGACTTCTCGACCTTGAGTATGCGGATGATATTGTCTTACTGTGCGATAATGCCCAAGGCATGCAATCAGCACTTAATCAGTTGGCAATCAGTGTCCGCAGGTACGGCATGTGCTTTGCACCCTCCAAGTGCAAAGTACTTCTACAAGACTGGCAGGATTCTCATCCTGTACTCACCCTGGATGGTAAGCAGATTGAAGTAATTGAGAAGTTCGTGTATCTAGGTAGCTATATAAGTGCTGGTGGTGGCGTGAGTGATGAGATTGATGCACGTATAAGGAAAGCCAGATCGGCTTATGCCAATCTGGGCCATCTTTGGCGCCTTCGTGATGTTAGTCTGGCTGTAAAAGGTCGGATCTACAACGCGTTGGTGAGATCAGTTTTGCTCTATGCTTGTGAAACCTGGCCTCTCCGAGTTGAGGATGTCAGACGTCTCTCTATGTTCGATCATCGTTGTCTCCGAAGGATTGCTGACATCCAGTGGCAACACCATGTTAGTAATGCAGAGGTTCGGCATCGTGTGTTGGGGCGCAGAGACGATAATTCAGTTGGTGTCACCATCTTGAAACACCGACTTCGGTGGCTTGGACATGTTTTACGAATGTCTTCCCAGAGACTTCCACGTCGTGCAACTCTGGAACTGGTTGGAAAAAGCGGAGAGGAGGTCAGTGTATGACATGGTGTCGTGGCATGAAAGAAAGCTGCAAAGGGCTAGCTTCTGTTGGTCCTTCACGACTCCCTGGCTGGGGTCCGAGAGATGGTGCAACACAGTGGCTAGAGACGTTATCAGATATGGCTCAGAATAGAAGCCAGTGGCGATCCTGCTGCAACCTTCTTTTACTTTCTACATAAAGAGTGTTTCTAACTTTCCTAACTGAAAGAGTTTTCTGGTTGTACATTTCAGTCCGCCTTATCTTTTCATCCCTTCTCTTCCTACTTTCATTATTTTGTGTGGCGCATATGTACCTGGTGCCGTTTTGTACCAATATATATGTGTTTAAATAAATAATAATAGTCACTAGTAAATGCATTATGATTACGAGTATGAGATGAATTTTCACGGTCACAAAGTGAACTCACATTGTAGATTTACCATTTATATGAATTAACCTATTAGTTAACTTTCCGGGCCACCGTTTATTTCGCCGAATCTGTCCGTGGAACATAACCAATACTCTCGTTTTTACGCTGCGCTACTTTTTTGCATATACCGTATTCAGTAATAAAATAACAGAAACATTGTATTTCTGAATACTTTCAGGATTAATTTGCTTACTTAAAATCCTTTTGTGTTAATATTTTTAACTTAACGCTATCTTTGCTCTCAGTGTTTCATTCATTTTTCTTAATCAGTAGTTGATTGGTTTAAATAAAATATCTTCAATAAGCTCACAAAGTGATAAAGCATATATGTGACAGTAGACTTATCACAATAATTTTCGTAGTAGTTTTCTGGTGTTCTCAGTTTTCTTTATTTTTTGTACTTCAAGAAACCTGTAAAAACCATATAACGGCCTTTTACCGCCATCTTAGTAATTTAGCATAACATCTCAGTCTTCTTTCTGAGAAAATACTTGCTATCAACTACTGTTTCACATTATTAAAATCTCCGTGATCAACATTTCATCGAAGCAATTAATGAAACACATCATTGAAGAATTTGTATTTTTTTTATCTATTCTTTTACATGTTACGTCTCTTATTCTATCAACTCGACGTGTCTGTAAAGTGTACTACCTTTGGTGATACTTTTTCGAGATATTCGATTTAAACGCATGCTGTAAGACTTATGACTTTTAACTGTTAATTGTCATACAGTGCAAAAACGATAGTGCATTTATTCCACACCACTGAGAAAATCACAACTAAATAAGATCAAGAAATGGCATATCAAGATACTCATCATCACCACTGGAATTTTAATTGTTATGAATTCAGTTATACAATCACTGAAAACCGCTAAACACAGAACAACTTTTCAAGCTAATATAAAACTGTTAGGTAGTCACATTCATTACCTCTCCAAGGTTTGGACCTGGAGCGAAGAAAGCATAACCGCTGGGTTGACATGCAATAGCTCACATTCCTAACTTCGATTAATTTTCGATATTGCCGGTTACCATTGGCGATTAGAATTTGCTTAATGTAATATTGTAATTCTTGTGCATTATTTTCTTAACAAATTTTTAACGATGAATCACATAATTTTCTTTAAGACAAGCTCGACGAAGCATGTTATGCTATACGCAGCAGTTTTACTTCTCCAGGTTACTGTAATTGAGAAATACATTATTGAGTAAACTAATATGGATTGATAGGATCTGCTACTTGGTCCCTTGGATAATTAGTGAGGTTTGAATATATAAACTTATCTTAATTCAATAAACTGGGTTATTTAACAACTTTATCACTGGATAGATTCATACATCAGTTGGATTAATAATACTGGAAAGACTAAATATTCTATTTTTTAGAAAGCATGATTATCGCGGTGGGATCTGGTCTAATCCTTAATGACCGATAAGAAATTGAATTCAAATTTTGTGCAACTTTCCGTAAAAATGAAACCTTTTAAGCCAAATACTAATTTTTCGCCTTCAAGCAAAAATTGCTTTTTATTTGCTTTATATCCTTGTACAGTTATCATACACAACGAATGTAAAGTACAAAACCCATTCAGTCTTATCTAACAGTAAAGTTGAAAGGGCGTGTTCATCTCTATTAAGGATTTCAGCCGCAGTATATTGGTTATCCACCTTGCTGAATATTCTAGTGGATAGTTTTAGTCCAGTCAACAGTAGATGAGTAAAAATTCTAATAGATTTCTGTTATTGACGTTTCAGAAACTGATAGTTTCAGTATTAATCGACATCTGATCAACTAAAGAGAGCCAACATTCTGTAGAAACACCAAATCCTACTGTGGTGTATCATACAGATATAAGTAGTGTGTAACACAAATCAGAACTGCAATGCCTCGCAGCAGAAGATTGAAAAGATTCAATTAAAGAGAACAGAAAGCAATTGTAACAACAGCATCATTGGAAGAATCACGAACTTCGTAAAAGACAACCGAAAGCCGATGTGTAAATAATGTATTTAATGTATGGGTTTTATAATTTGGTTTCGCCCACTTGAGTTCTCATTCACTTTACTATGTGTACACTGTGTAATTTATTTAAATCAGATATGTGTATATTTTTTGTGTATTTCTTCATCTCAAAAAAATACTGTTTGATCTAATAATCAAACACATTTACGCCATATGGATTCCAGTTACGGAGTATAGTGAAGTGAATGATGGCAGGCTTCATCTTCTTTGAAGACAGCAGCTGAAAAACTACTGAACATCCAAGAGCACTAAATGCTGATGATACCCATTTTTAGAAGTGCTTATTGTTGCGTACTCACAAAATCATACAAAGTGGATTCAAATAAACCATAATAACGATTAATTTATCACTACTCTCAAACTTTATGTGATTCATAGTAAAGAAAAACCTTGTTCTAATGATGTCATAAAGCTTCACCTGAATTTCTACTGAATTTCGGATAAATTTTAGTTATCACAGGTTTCGCTTTATGGTTGCAACTGTTTTTAACATCGAGTATATAACAAAAGGTTCTTTAAAGGCTTTTATTTATGCCGGCCAAAACATTTTGTATAAACACTTTCTACGCTACGAAAAAACTGAAATTTTTTTAAGAAGGAGCTTGATGATAGTGTTATTCCGATTTGGTAAAGGTTGTTAATGTAAGGATATGAAAGTGTACAGTGTATAAATATCCATAAACTCTTTAATTTGTCATTTATACTCACTGTGGTGTGGAC